TAGATAGATAGATAGATAGATAGATAGATAGATAGATAGATAGATAGATAGATAGATAGATAGATAGATAGATAGATAGATAGACAGATAGATACCGCCACGTGCAACTTCGTACTAGGCTACATATGTCTGCTATGTCCTGTGTGACATGGTTTGTTTGTGTACAAACTAATACAGTGTCAGAATTTTATGTATTTATACTTCTCATTTAACCACAATCAAATTCACTCTATCTAGGAGGCACAATTTATATGGATAGTATTTATTTTTTACAATAACAAGCTGGAATGAAATCAAGCAAAAATGAAATAAAAGTAACAACTTTCTACTTCTTGCCTTTTTTAAAAATGTGAGGAGTAAAAAGTACAGATAACTGTATGAAAATGTAAGAAGTAGAAGTAAAAAGTAGGCTGAAGAATAATTACTCAAGTAAAGTGCAAGTATTCAAAAATTCTACTTTAGTACAGTAAAGAAGTATTTGTACTTAGTTACTTTACAACGCTGGTAAATAGACTGTATTTAAATAGTACTTCCCAACATGGCTACTCAAGCTTTAAAGGACAATCTGTACCCTCATTTACCCGTTCACGCAGCACTCCATTACATCATTACATGCTCAGCTGAATACATCATTCTTTAAAATCTAACCAGGGCTCACACCAATGGGACACATCAGAGAGGGTCTTGCCTGGTGACACTTCAGCATGTGACTGCAAACTGCTGGAATTGAACCTACAACTCTCTCATTGGAGGATGACTCCCTCAAAAATGAAAAGCAGAAAAGGTGACTTGTTTCTTACTGTGTAAGCCACATTAAATGTTGTAAACCTCAGAGGGTTCAGACACACACCTGTCTTTCCTTTGTCACACAGTCTACAAAGGGCCCAACATACACACACAACCAAACAAATATACACACAGAAATACACTCAAACAGAAAGAGAGAACTTGTCTCTGCGGGTTATACACTACTTATACACTACCCCCAGTCCCCATCAGATTAACATACCACAGCTCTCACACTGCTACACACATCCATGCAAGCAATTACCAGCTGCAGTGTTGAGTCTGGTCGTAGCACTCATTTAGGAATTAAGAAATTCTTCGTAACTTAAATTATATATTACGTAAACACTGGAAAGTTTACAAAATAAAGCACCAACAGAAATGTTTGATTTAATGGGTTAATTCAAAGGCTGAAGAAGTGTTACAATTATAAGCTGAATTTTGTGATCTGTAACTTTAGCGTCAACATCAAGCAACAAACTCACTTTGTTCAGAGGAGAGTTTAAATTGGTGATTTACTGCTAGATAAAAACATAAAACAATATTTCATTTATTGATGGTGTTAAAAAGACATCAACATCCCTAAAACTTTTCCTCTCATTAAACGTGCTCATTTAAAGTTTATATGTGTTTGTTGAAACAAGTGTTAGCAACATTACAGGAGTTAGCTTGTTTGTTAGCCACTTTTTTACTTTACAAGGAGCAAAGCAACATAAAATACCATAAATCACATTCTGCACAAAAAGCATGCTTAGTGTTTATTCTGTATTTTCACTTTAGTGATCCTTTCTTGTGTAGCTATCTGTTCTTTTTATTACATCAGATTTTATTAAAGCTACCTACTGGTTTATTTGATTTATTTTTGGTGTTTTAGACATTCATTTTAAACAGAACCCCAACAGTAGTGTCTATATGATACTTTCAGTGGTAATCTTCCAAAAATAGTTGAGACAAATTAAAACTCATCTCTATGATGGCACACCTGGAAAAAAAAAAAAGCATTGCTGATGTTTTTTATGGCAGGTTTTGTGGAGCCCAACAAGCTCGCTGCTAACATCTGCACCTCTTGTTAAAAACACCTCAGACACCTCAAATGAAGTGTTATGTATCTAATTTTGCCTGGGCCAAATTAAGGAGAAAGTACTTACTGGAAACTGTAGGCCTTTCTCTATCAAGCGGCCCTGTAACTCTACAACTTATGCTGACTTGTGAATTTTTTTGTTACGCATAAAATACTTATTCGTTTAACTCAGTATTACAGTATGTTTACATCCAAAAAAGGCTTCTAGTAGATTTTCTTTATTCCATCTTTTATATAGGCATCTTCACATTTGGTCAAAAGTTCTCTAAAGTTAAAGGAAAAAAATTTGTATAGGTCCTCTGGACGGGTTCTTCTTTAATGAAACGTTTCGTCTCTCTTCCAAGAGACTTCTTCAGTCTGAGAGTTTCAGGCAAAATTCAGGCCTGCCTCCAGATGACTGATACTCACATCAGAACTCTGTACCACAGAGCAGACAGTGTCCCTACAAACCCAGGAGCCAGGCAGAAAGAG